ACTCAGGCTAATGCTCTCTCTCTCTCTCTCTCTCTCTCTCTCTCTCTCCAATTTCATTGTTATGGCTTTGAATATTTCGAATTCTTTCGCTCTCAACGGCAATTTGAGAATGGCTTTCTTTGTTTTTTTGGGTTCTTTTGATTCAGATGTTCACAACCTTAAAATGGTAGCAATTATTGGATTATTGATATTTAAAGTCTATTTGGTTGACTTTGTGTTCCTTATAATAATCTTTTTGTTCGGAGAGGCGATTGCAAATCTTCCTATGTTTCTATACTGGAAATATTATCTGTATAACCATTGAAATGGCAATTAGATTTCATATTGCATTATGATTTTTCTTTGGGAGTATGATCTTTTGTATTCTTTTCTTGGATATTTAATGTCTTTTGATGTTCCTTCTGGAATCAAACAGTAGGTCCTTGATAATATTGCTTCAAATGTGCTCTTTTCTTTCTTTCATTTGATAGTTAGTTTTCAGGGTAGAAATACTATAATTCTTCATTCTTGATCTTGGGGAATACAGTTTGGGGTAACTATCATTTGGATTTTGGAATGGTAATGCACTCCAAGCTCATTCCTTTAATGGTGTTCTGTTCGTTTTGAAGTGTACATTAACCATCCCCCCCCATTAATGTGATGAACAAGAAAGGGGAAAAAGGAAAAGAAATTGATTCTATTGCTGTGTTTTATTCTTTATTAATTTTCATATGTGATTATCACGAGTGGTGAATACTTGATTATTTTTCATTATTCAAACCATATGCTTTCTGCTTGGAATGTTAGAATACCATCTAATTTTTATATTTGTACTGTTTTATGTTCTATAAGTGAATTCCTTGCAAGTTACAGCAAAAAATTCGTTCTATGTAAATTGTAAACTTCTATCTATCAAGTGTCCTGTGTAGGAGTTCTTCCCATGAAATTTCTTTTAGGGAAAAGTTGTGATGGATTCTAACATAAATTCTTACTTGGTGTTAGAACAAACACTACTTACACATTGCTTGACCCATTCTTGCATCAGGACGTCTTGAGACTATAACTTTCTGTCATTTGTATTTTTAGGTAGGAATGCTATTTTCAAAGAGGAATCAGGTTACTAGTTCAAATAAGTTAAAAAGAAATGATCTATGAAGCATTGGGCAAATGAAGTGGGTAAATATGTTACTGATGATGTTGTCACGATATAGACAAGGAGTCATCTACTCTAAAGTAAAGAACTGATGTCTGCTTCCGAAGCTTTTCTCACACATAAAATTAAGAATTTCAGAAATACCGTTGTTAAGATTTGAGCTTGGCCCTGATTAGTTGAAGTGTTGAGTATTACAATGCCACATCCCAAGTTCAAATCCTACAGCTGATCTACTCCAAAACAAAAATCTTGTTTTCCTTCTTTTTTTAATAAAAAAAGTTAAAAGGTGGCCAAAATGCTAACTTAATGCATGTCAAATTTTGAGTGGATTGGTTCCTTAAGGATCATGGAACCAATTTGGACTTTACCTCATTCGATTTCATTTCCAAATTAAGAAATACTATTTAATTGAGAAGTCCTATTTAACAAGGCATTGGGGTTTACTCTCACTAGATCCTTTTGAGCTGGATGCAATATTTTTTAACTCCTCTCTCTCTCAAGTGGTGACAGCCTGTTCCAAACAACTAACTGTCCTATACTCAGCAAATGGTGCACAAATTTTGTCTACTATTGTGTAGAAACTCTCCCATCTTAATCAGTGAGAGTTTGCTCCAAATGACTAAGCATCTTATACTAAGGCCTGTGATGCCACAAAGCATCTTATCTGCATCTTATCCGAGGCATCTTATACCTAAGCATCTTATACTTAAGAACATGTACCTTATATGTTCTGTGAGACCTGTAGAACACATCTATCCCAGTTGGCACACAATAGAGATTCACTTTGCATTTGCCACTGGTATTCTGTTCTTGATTAAATGACAAAGTATATACTTCACAATTGAATTTTTAAAGTTCTAGGAAGCTACTGTATGACCTTCCCTTGTTTCTCACTCTAATGCTGTTTTTTCCCCCCTTATTGTTTACATAGATAAATTGAGAAGAAAGTAAGAATAGGTCTACATAAGATGCTGAAAATTTTACTGAAGAGAAGTTGTCTCTTGACAGGCCTTTAACTTTGCATTTAGGGGTTACTTCCAAAGACACTTTGGCAACTCAAAAGAGAAAGATGGGCTGTCGAAGAAAAGGATAGTGAGCAATTTTGCTTCAGGTAGTGCAGCTGGGGCTATGACCTCATTTTTGTTATACCATTTGGATTATGCAAGGACTCGTTTGGGCACTGATTCAAAGGATCCTCAAGCCAACACCAAACGCCAGTTCAAAGGACTGTTAGATGTGTATCGAAAAACCCTTGCAACTGATGGAATCGTGGGTTTATACAGAGGATTCACGGTTTCGATCGCTGGAATTACTCTCTATAGAGGCTTGTATTTTGGAATCTATGATACCATGAAACCCATTGTACTTGTTGGAAACTTAGAGGTAAGCTTATTTTTATTCTTTAAAAGAAGCTCTCAACAAGATCCTTAAAACTTACGATTATTGGCATTTGGTTTCAGTTTACCGCAGTTATCTCTAATCCGGTCCTTTGGTTTGCAATTTAATTTTGATTTGTTGGATTTGTGTCTAGATGTATTCATTCTTATTTGTTACTTGAGTTTTTCTTCTTGGGCTTCAATTCGATAGTGAAGCCTTTGCTGCAGGATCCTTATAGTAGTGGAGCATTCTTACACCAAAATAAACACCAGCCTAGCAAATATTTATGCTATCTCAACAGGAAATCATCTTGTCAATCACTCTCCTGTATAAATCCTTTCACATTTCCACAATGAACATCATGCTGCCACCCATTTTTAAAATGTTTACCAACATATATCCAGTTTTAAAGCTTGATATTCCTTTAAAAACCAAAATTTTCATTGTATAATCTTTTCCAAAGTGGCCAAAATCTCCCCTCATTCAGGCAAAACAAACCTGTTATGGAAAGCTCTCTCTCTCTCTCTCTCTCTCTCTCTCTCTCCTCTCTCTCTCTCTCTCTCTCTCTCTCTCTCT